GCAAACAATTTCTCTGACTCTCCGTGGTTTTTCCGATCACTTAACGCGGACCACAGCAGCCCGAGAAATCCATCGATCAACAGGTAAACGCTTACCGCAGACCAACAGGTGTAACGGTATCGCGAAAATGATATAGTCACCGCGCTTTCAGATCACGCTGTCTTGAAATGGTCTTCGGTTCTTGTACAACGCATGCGAACGTGTTTCTCGAAGTTCCCGGATCGAGCGAAGCAGACAGGAAACTGGTAGCAGATGGTATTTCCCCGGACGGTTCACGGTTTCTGGATCATCGGCGCGTTTCCTGTGCTACCGGAATGACGAGCGCAGCTTTTTACATTAATTCCGACGCTGACGCGGCCACGGGTTAACGGGAAAAACGGGGCGCGAAATCTGCTACCACGATTAAAGGAGGTGACATGTCATCAAAGTTTCATGAACCACGTGACACAGCGTGGCTCGTGCGCTGTGCTGAACCCCAGCTATGAATACGCTGTTCCAGGTGGTCATTGTTGGTGGCGTTTGCGTTGAACGCAGGCTGGACGTCCAGTCATTTTAGAACTGGTTTGAACCACTGGCCCGTCCAGTAATTGGACACCACCTGGGAATCACCTGTAACACTGTATTTTCCTGAACAGTAATGAACCGTCACGGTTCATTGCCGTGACGGTTCATTACTGCATTTGTCTCGCATATCAGAAAATTCTCAAGAATTTCACACGTGGAACGACCAGTCCACGGCGGGTTTATACAAATGTATATTTTAGTTAACCCATTGACTACGAGATATATCTCGTAGTAAGCGTCTGCACCAAAACTGCCAGCTACGAGATATCTTGTAGTGGGTGCTGCAAGTTTAGATTGGCTACAAATGGCTATTCGAGCTAGGAACTATTAGAAAGGATGAATGAAAAATGTATATAGCGTGGAGAACATATTGATTATCAACAAAAAAAATACTGTAAATGCCATTGCAATATTATATCAGTAACATAATATTATTATATTTTGTAAAACTTCGTGTTTTCTTTCAAATAAAACCGTGGCACCCAGGGCAAGCCGCGCTAAATTTGCGTGGCAGTCAATGGGTTAAAACGAATTGTACAAATAAAACTTTAACCGAGATAGGTTTCATCATTGGCGATGACACATATCAATATTTCAGTACCGTTTCTTAGGAGGAGGTTATTCATTATCATAATTCTTGAGAATATAGAGTGACGCATATTAAAATATTTCGACACGATCTGAAGGAGGAAAAATCTTATAAGGTCGATCCGAACTGCGTGAACTTTCGGAGAAGTTAAACGAATTGGATTGCATGCAAAGCGTGCCGTAGATGCACAGGGAAAATTGATTCGATCGAAAATTATCAATCTCTCGGACTTTTTACCGTGTTTTACCATGTTTACTTATTGTTGTCTTTCCTATTGCGAACTCTGGCTAAAACGCTTACGAGGAAGTTTTGCAATGTTTTTTGACCCGCGCAGTCTTATGTGCGTCAGTGATTCCATCGATCGATGAGCAGTTCAAGTTGAAGGATTTCCCGTTTCCTCATATTTGATTTTGAATAATCTGCAACATTCTGCGAAGATCTGCTCTTGCGAACGGTTTCGAAACAATTTCGACGTACAGTAGCCGTATAGTTGCTCGACTGTCAACAACTATAAAAGCGAGCAGCAAGGCTCGAATAATCGTGTCTCCTCTTCCGAAATTGTCCATTTCTGTTCACAGTAAATTCTCCCTAGTCGACGCTCAGATTGTACACGAAAATGGACAATTAGGAAAAAAGAAATACGATTTTTGTAGTTTTTATAGTTGCTGACAATCGGTAACTATAAAAACACGCCGCAAGGCTCGAATAATCCGTTTCACCTCTTTCCAAATTGTCCATTGTTGTTCACAAGCTGAACGAAAATTGGGGTGAATTTACTGTAGTATTTTCTGCGATCGTTCGTACTATCTTTCGGTGCTCGTTGATCTTCGACCCGTGGATCCTTAAATTGGAATAGACTGTTCAAATTCGCAGTATAGTAATTACATTAATTATGCTGCAAGATTGCTTCATACTATTGACTATTAATTACTCCAAATGGAGAAGTTTGCCGAATAATGCAACGTGCCGATAGAGAACTGTACATTTTATAAATAAACGATCACTGTTGACAAGAAGACCGTAGTTGTCATGCTGACAGCGACCTGTCCCGATACAACAATTTCGTATTAACTCTTTGGGGCACAGGATTTCAAAAAATGAATACAGAAGGCACAGAAATTTCATTGCGTTTTAAATTAAACAAAATTAGTATATTTTTATTAACGAAGGAATCACATAATATAAAAACATAAAAAGATAACAATAATTCAATTCAATTTGCTGTTATAGGGTGGAACTCAAATAGTCCCATTGTGCCACATGGGTTTATGAATGCGCATGCAGCATGCATTACCGTGCATCAAAAATATAGGACACTTTTAATCCCACCGTGCCCCAAAGAGTTAAGAGATTAACAGTCCGAGATCCACAGTCCGAGACCATTCTGCTGTTTGAAAGATGGAAACATCGTCTCGGAGGATGTAGGTTGCATTTATACTACTTCACACCGATACTGAATAATGAAGTAATGATTCTTGATAGGTTGCAGACCGTAGAAAATGTTGCGCGCATTGGATCGTCTCGCCTTGAGGTTATGCAACTAGCGATATTTATTAAATAAATCGCCTTGGATCCCTGTGAAACCGCGGGGAATCGCGATTCACCGTAACCGAATGGTCGGCCCGCGATCATTTTCTAATGTAGCGTTAATGTAGAGAACGCGGACGTCCAATGGAACGGCGAAACGAAATAATTTCACGATCCACTGGTCCCACGAAGGTCGTGTCGTCTCGCTCGATTCGACTATCGGCGAAATTTCACCGGAACTGTAGTAATTGAGTGTGAGTCGAGGATAACTGGCGATTTCGGAGGACGTTACACCGGGATTGTAATTGGTTCGCCCTTTTCAATCACCCGGAATACCGTCGGCCCGACCATTAAAGAACGTTCTATACATTCACTGGTTTGTCAGTCGTATATAGCCGATGGAATTATTCGTTCAGATCGAAAAATAAATTTTTGCGCTACTATATAGGACGTCCCAGCATCGGTGGTGCAACCGAGAAGAAGGTGATTCTACGTGAAATTTTTTCATTTGAGGCTTCGTTGTCGAGAAAATCGATTTTGGATACAGGGTGTCCCGAAAATGTCTCGCAATCCGGAAATGGGAGGTTCCTGAGGTCATTTGAAGCAACTTTTCCCTTTGCAAAAATTTTCTCCGTGGCTTCGTTTACGAGTTATTAACGAAAAACATTGACCAATAAGAGGCGAGCTCGGCTGGCGCGCGGCAGTCCAGCCGAGTGCACGGAGCACAGTTCTGCTCATTGGCTCGGCAGTCTCGCGTCAAATGATCTCGCCTCTGATTGGTCACTGTTTTTCGCTGTCTCTTATACACATCTAGATGTGTATAAGAGACAGCGAAAAACAGTGACCAATAGGAAGAGAGCTGAGTTGGGCGGGCCTGCCGAACCAAAGATGTGTATAAGAGACAGCGAAAAACAGTGACCAATAGGAAGAGAGCTGAGTTGGGCGGGCCTGCCGAACCAAAGATGTGTATAAGAGACAGCGAAAAACAGTGACCAATAGGAAGAGAGCTGAGTTGGGCGGGCCTGCCGAACCAAAGATGTGTATAAGAGACAGCGAAAAACAGTGACCAATAGGAAGAGAGCTGAGTTGGGCGGGCCTGCCGAACCAAAGATGTGTATAAGAGACAGCGAAAAACAGTGACCAATAGGAAGAGAGCTGAGTTGGGCGGGCCTGCCGAACCAAAGATGTGTATAAGAGACAGCGAAAAACAGTGACCAATAGGAAGAGAGCTGAGTTGGGCGGGCCTGCCGAACCAAAGATGTGTATAAGAGACAGCGAAAAACAGTGACCAATAGGAAGAGAGCTGAGTTGGGCGGGCCTGCCGAACCAAAGATGTGTATAAGAGACAGCGAAAAACAGTGACCAATAGGAAGAGAGCTGAGTTGGGCGGGCCTGCCGAACCAAAGATGTGTATAAGAGACAGCGAAAAACAGTGACCAATAGGAAGAGAGCTGAGTTGGGCGGGCCTGCCGAACCAAAGATGTGTATAAGAGACAGCGAAAAACAGTGACCAATAGGAAGAGAGCTGAGTTGGGCGGGCCTGCCGAACCAAAGATGTGTATAAGAGACAGCGAAAAACAGTGACCAATAGGAAGAGAGCTGAGTTGGGCGGGCCTGCCGAACCAAAGATGTGTATAAGAGACAGCGAAAAACAGTGACCAATAGGAAGAGAGCTGAGTTGGGCGGGCCTGCCGAACCAAAGATGTGTATAAGAGACAGCGAAAAACAGTGACCAATAGGAAGAGAGCTGAGTTGGGCGGGCCTGCCGAACCAAAGATGTGTATAAGAGACAGCGAAAAACAGTGACCAATAGGAAGAGAGCTGAGTTGGGCGGGCCTGCCGAACCAAAGATGTGTATAAGAGACAGCGAAAAACAGTGACCAATAGGAAGAGAGCTGAGTTGGGCGGGCCTGCCGAACCAAAGATGTGTATAAGAGACAGTATCAGTATCCTGAGATAACAAATACAAGTAAATCTTCTCGAAAGTTAGCATCCATATTTTTAAACGTGTTAAAACGCAAACCCTTAAATATATCGACTTAAAAACAAAGTGACTTATGCCACTTTCAAAATAAACGGCTCAAATGGCACTTGCATACTGATCCGGTGACGGTGTAGAAGGAAATATTCGAAAACGTTCAACTGGGGATAGAGGAAAGACGAAGGTAGGATCGATGTTGACGTCGACGATCGACGTCGAAGGGGTCACGCGTTGCAGCAACAGCGGCACAAAAGATGCAGAGGTGGTGGTGGCAGGATGGGGGACAACGAACAATTCAGGGTCCTCGTAACCGGTTCCATATAAAAGCACATGCTCGGTCAACGGGAGGAGACATTCTCACCGAGTAATCTGGCCGGTGATGACCAGCCGGTAAGGTCATCGAGTTGCGTCCCCGAGCAACAACGAGGCTACGCCAGCCTACAGGACCTGGGCCTTGTTCGAAACCGTCGAAAATCCTTCCACGATCTCAAACCGATACTAAATCATCGAGATTAAAACGTTCGATAGATTCCACGGCTCGAACCAACACGTCAACGCGAAACACTGGAAGTGCGAAGCGAACGGTGAAGTGGAAATTTGTTTGAAAGTATTCGAAATCGAGGAGGATATCGAGGAGAGTGCGATCGGATTCGACGGAGGAGAAAGGCTGAGAGGATTCTGGACGGGAAAAAAAGAACTTTTGTGCTCGCGGGAAACACGTGCGGACGAGTGAAAGTTATCCCAGAATTGAACGCGGCACCTGGACCAGTGCACGATATCGTGGATTCGTTTCTTCCTGGAGCCATTCTTAGGACCAGTACACGCCGACAAGCAGTCCGGACCTGTTGGATACACGCTTCAGAGGTGAGTGAACGTGCCCCGAATTCGCTGTTAACACTAGAAAGACTGAAACTTAGTGTAGACCTATATTGCCCAAAAGCAGTCAAAATCACTGCATTGTGAAAGAATAACTAATGTGTAAAGATATTTGTTTAAAATTAATTTTTAATATTTTTTTATATTATTTACATTTATATAACAGGTTATTAGTAAATATTAACAATAAACAAAATTTAAGATACGAATAACAAGTACTACTTTAGCTTATTGAGCAACTGCAACTTATCTAGTATACGCCCAAATCGACAATTTATCATGTACTTGTATGTTATCATGTAACGGTAATAAAAAAAATGAAAAATGTTATTTCAATACAGAGCCGAACTGGTCATATAAGAAATTTACTCAATTCAATAATAAGAGTCATTTGATTATTTTAGATTTCCCAAGCAGTCAAAACGACTGCTTCTGAGCAATATAGGTATAACATATATATACCGGAAATAAAGGAGGGGGGGAGGTAACTACAATTATTAATAAACGCATTTACATGTTGTACAAAAAGTCACAAAATTCTAAGAAATTGTATCATTATATACATAATTTTTTTTCTAATTGAAATTAAAAAGCAGTCAAAAAATGACTTCCTTGGGCAATCTAGTGTTAAATCGATGCTAGACCGCGGGCTTAGCTGTTCGGCTGGATGTGCCAACGCCGCCTCGTAAATATCGAACCGATATGGTTTCGTGCCGAGAGTTGTTTTCTGTTCCGTTAGAAAGTGTTTGATGAACAACTTCGCTTGGGAAATTGTTCGGCCGATATATTAGGTTGGAAACTATGAAACGAACGTTTTTGTTTAGTCTGTGTTCAGCTGCGACTGTGTTCATTGTAATAAGCGCTCGATATTTTTATTTATAAATTTTAAAGGTATTCTTCTTACTCATTTCGTAAAATTTGTTGTATCCCATTTTTATTTTATTTTTCTCCGAATCCACAGATGGAAACGAAACGCGATTTACATCGTTCACAACGCCCGTTTCATAGTTTCCAACCTACTACCACGTTCTCCTGGAACACGAACCGAAAGTTTCGAGTCATTTACGATATATCCTTTCAGAGATACGGTCGGTTGCTTCCGATGCGGTACGAAAAACCGGTGTTTCATGTGGGAAGATCGGTGAAAGGCGAAGGCTGTTGCGATAGTGGGCAATCCGATCGTTTAGAATAATATCTACAGTGGCCCGCAAAAGTGTTCGTACACCATTTAGAACGCAATAACTTTTTTAAAACTGGACCGAGTGACTTGAATTTCGTTTTTAGATGATAACGGGACCAGTCTATCGCACGATGACCAAAATGCTTTTTACAAATTTTGCTATTGCTTGGAATGACAAAAAAAAAGAATAAAATACTCGTTTTTTAACTATTTTATCTCAGCTTATAATGGAAATTTAAGAAATAATAACAAAACTTTTAAAAAAGGCATTTCGATCATCGTCTAGTAGACTAATCCCTGCATCATCTAAAAGAATTCAAGTCGTTTGGTTGAGTTTTAAAAAAGTTATTACATTTTAGAAGGTGTACGATCACTTTCGTGGGCCACTGTAGCTATTTTCTTGATCCCTCGAAGAACTTCTTAAAATCAGTGCGCAATAAGTCGCTTTGATAGTCTTATGTTTCGACTGTAGCAACGGTTGCGGCGATATTTTTTAATTTGCTAGTTTAGCTTTTTTCGGATTGCAAATTTTATGCGGACATTGAATGGACGAAATTTTGCCAGTGTACTATACGTGATGCAGAAAGTACACTGTAATGATCGCTGGATTGCGAAAATTACGATGTCGATAACATTACGTAATTGGAAACAACTATAATAATATAGGAATGACAAGAAGTAAGATATTAAACGCGGGAATGTTTCAACAAATTGCGTTCCGTTGGAATTCAAAAAAATTCACGTGTCTCGTTCCTCGCAGTACAGCGTTTGTTTATCATTTAAATTTCATGGAACAGCGAAACTGACGTCAGCTTTCCTTTCACCGTAATTGTCCACCGTCGATTAATTAATAGAATCTTGATTGAATTCAATGAATTTTAAGCCGTTGCGCCGTTGGCAACTGCTCTAGCAATTGGAATTTGTCGTTAGGTTTCAGGAAAATTGAAAGTAACCGTACGCATTGCTTCAGGAAAATAACAAGAATATTTGTCACGATTTTTAACAAGTCTCGTTGCAAGACATATCCGAGGAAAATAATTTATTGATTGATTCTCGACGAATGCGACTTTGAAACCTCGATCGGGAATGAAGAAATTAAGAAATTGTCGTTCGACTAAAATTGTCTATGAATATAATTGAGACTAGTCGGAGAACTATAGTCAATGACATCATTCAGCTGCAGTATCATGTAACTATTCTATTTAATCGAAGTCGATAGATTTCTAGAGAATTAGATTAATAGCTCCAGTTTATTGCTATCCTTTCTATTAATCACCGCTTTGTCATTGAGAATGCTTTGCCATTGAGACTGAGATTTCTAATGGCTGGTTAACGGTTTCATTGGCTTCCAACGGTTTTTTTTTTAAATCGTCTAGCCACTAGAGACTTTCCTCTAACGGAACGCGAACTTTTCTTTGCGATGCTTGCATAATGGACGCTGTTACATAAGCACCTCACGCATTTGTATTTCATACTACCAATTTCCGTTTGAGCGCGCGGCACTGTTCCAAGTCGAAAGGCCCGTTCTCCGCGACTTTTTACCCGTTTTCCTCCAGCCTGCTAAATAACTCCACGGTTTTCAATGGTATTGCGAAAGTCGATCAAATATCGATTACAAAAGTGGTACGAGATTACCACTACGAGATTCGAACGAGATTTGCCAATACCGTCCGATTTTTACCAGAGAAAATGAGATTTCGAAAGTGACTTCCTTTCGCGAGCATGTATGACGTCTTTCAACCATCTATCATCAATCAGTGTCTCATTTTAATATTCTTGAACGAGATTACTCTTCATCGATGAAATGTAATTAGAACTAGTGAAATATTAAAAGTTCATTCGATCGAAATTAATCATTTGCACTGGAATGTCGTCGATACGGCGACACTGTACAGGGGGTGTCTCATAATTATATTAACGTTGAACATAATTTCTGAGGTCATTTGAAGTAACTTTTTCCTTAGCGAAAATGAAACTCGAGGCTTTGTTTACGAATTATTGACGAAAAACAGTGACCAATGAGAGGCGAGCTCGGTTGGCGCAAAGCGGCCGAGGCAACGAGCGGTCGAAGCACAGTTTCGTTGATTGGTTCGGTCGCCTAGCGTTAGGCGAGCTCAATGTTAATTTTCGAGATCGCTCTCACCCGTAGTATATTTTTGTATTTTTGTTTTTTGTTTGGAAACGGTAGTATATATTTTAATTTGGCGCAAAATATTGTTAAATTATATAATATATAATTATATATATATATATATTAATAATATAATAATAATAATAATAATAACAATAATAATAATATAATAATAATAACAATAACAATAATATAATAATAATAATATATATATTAATAATATTAATAATATTATTATATATAATATATATATATATATATATATATATATATAATATAAATATAAATATATATATAAATTATATATAAACAATATTTTATATATGTATATATATTAAATCACTTAGACATTGCTATAATTTGGTTAATACAATAAAATTCTGAAAAACCACAGCAATACGTTTCTATTTTCGAAAAGTGGTCGAATTTCGGATTGCTGTGAATTTCCCTGTCCTGGACCTACGTCTGTGTGTATATAATTGCTACGTCGATGCTAAGGTTCGACGGAGTCGATCAAGCGTGTGATGCGGCACGCGACGCGAATGCCGGGAAGACAACGCAAAATGGTCTGTTTGAGTGTGAGTCAGGTAAGAAAAACCGCGGAGCTGTAAGGTAGATGACCAATCTCCGTCGAATTGCCTTCGAATCGTGGCAAGAAATTAGAAATAAAAAGAGTTAAGTAATCGTTTTTAGTCTGGCATTATTACGTACACATATTAATGTATACCGGCATGCTGTTTCTATAAAAACGAGCCGCGGAGCTCGAGGAATCGTTTTTGAGTACGTATTATATCTGGCGAGAGTCCAACCGGAGAGTCCAATCCGGGAGAGTCTAACCATTTTTTGAAAAAAGTATTGTATTGTTATGGTTGCTATCTCGTTTTCTGCCCGCGACAGTTGCAGCACAAAATACAACGCCGCTCGAATTATCTCGAACGTGCACAGTTTGGCCTGTTTAGCGCGCTCGAATTAACTCGAGCGTACAAGTTAAGGGGTTGATCTGAAAATAACGTGAATAAACTTACCTATCTGCCAATTACTGCTAGGAATATGTATTAGTGAAAAAAGCTTTCAGATCCGCCTAAAAGCGGCTAAAGCTTCAAAGCGCAATTTGCAAGATTAGGATACAGTTTCGCGTCGGATACAGACGACGTCGTCGTCTCGCGATTATTTACACTGGCCGGTCTCTCCCGGACTTAATCTATTGTAAGCAGACGTTGATGATACAATTGATTGTTTAGAGTTTAGATAAAGCGATCGTTACTTTGTTTGTTATCTTCGCGGCGCGTCAGCGACCAAAGAACGAGCGACAAGGCTTTGTTTATTACACGAAAAACGCCGTGACAAAGGGAGCGGTGCGCGAGACACACGGAAAGTCGCACTCGGATCAAGCGATAGAAAAATCGGTCGTTAGACGAAAAGAGAGTCGATTGGTCGTGATAAGGCAGTCAATAGTCGTCGTTACGGCGTCGAGACGTTGTATAGACGATCGAATGTACACCGTGTACGTAACCACTGCATTTCATTTCCACATCAACGTTCTCATATTATCTATCATTTAGTTCATTACAAAGTAGTTCACGCATGCCATTTAATTAGCGCAGACTTAAGCGAGTCATTTCGACCGCGAATCGTAAGCTTCGCTACTGTTACTCCATGCATATTGTTACGAATAATATGGACAGCGCCGCGTGTAGCACAGAAGAAATAATGTCATATCGTTTCTCGTGTCGCGCGAGTGTGCGGAGGATATCTGAAAAACCACATTTGACTCACGAGCCGCGACTCGGCCAGACTTGAATCGACGCGAGAGATTGCAAATTGCAACTAAATATGAATCGATGGAGATACCTACGGAAAGCATATCCAGTAATAACTTGCAACTAGTTTCTTAAAAGTTTGTGGTAATTTCTGGGCATGCGTTGGAAATTTTTAATAGGCGTCTTGCTTTTCGCATAGCATGTGGGGGAATTCTTTTTGCTCTTAAAGAGTTGATGAAACTGGTTAATGAACTACCACATTTGCAGACTGCTTTGGAAATCGTTGCAAAGTGTGAATGCCTAGGTCGCAACTGAGTTGCTCATAATGGAACAATAATTATGTAGACAGCAATTATGTTGCAAGAATTGAAAGAGCTGATGTGAAGTAACCATAATCGCTGGACGGTGTTCCGCAAGTGTGTACTCAGGACACAGTATAACGAATACGCACAGAAATTTTTTACGGCCAAGTGAATGTACTGGTACCTGAGATTGTAAAGGAGATTCCACGATTGAAAGGCGTTCGGCTGTGCCTGATGCACTTTTGCATACAAGAATTGCTAGATAACTTCGTCGGATGGACGATATCCCTTGACATCAGCCTTTTACGATCCTAATCATTTTAGACTTCATTTCAGAAGTCTTCGTTACGTCAGCACCGATTGCATTAACTTTTATGAAAATTGAAATATTATTTCCAAACTCGACAAACGGACGAGCGGTCGATGCCCAATTCCGCTCATTGGCTCTCGCGCCAAATGATCTCGCCTCTGATTGGTCACTCTTTTTCGTTAATAACTCGTAAACGAAGCCGCGGATTGCATTTTCGCCAACGATAAAGTTACTTCGAATGACCTCGTGATCCCTCATTTCCCGCTTGTACAATAATTTTGGGACACCCTGTAGACGCAGATCAGATAGAAATCGCTCCGATGCTCTTGTCAGATACTCACGAACTTCGTGTTATACATAATGATCACCGACAAGATAATAATTGCAGCTGAAATCTCTAAGTAAATTACGTCTGACAGAAAATACATCATCATACGTCTGATACTTCCACATCGCCGCGTTTAGACACGCGTCGCGTCGCGCAGCTTGAACTAACTTAATCTAAATCGTTGCCAACTCGCCGTGCAAATTATTATATTACGAGTGTGGCCGGGAAACTTTTACGGGAAGCGCGCCGATCACGAATTCATTGAAACCAATCCAGTTCCGACTCAAATTGACCGTGAAGAATGATCTAACTTTCCATTAGCCGGTGGAAAACCAGATCACCTTAGCGCTCTTTCTTTCCAGTCGAAGGATCTATCGATCTCTGCCGCACCGTTTTTCACAGCGATTACATTCTTGGTTAATGTGCTTTGTTTATCCGTTATGAAATCGAAGAGTTGCGCGCACGCATATCCTGATTATCCTAATATCCTGGCAGATTTCGTCGCGACCATAAGAGGCGCGTTGAAATGAGAATAACAGTTGAACAGCTTCGGCTCAGCCTGTATCGAATCGTTTAACAATTTTTAATAGCAAAATGAAAGCCTTGCTAGCTTTGAACAGTGAGGATACTCGTCTTGTGGGCCCCCAATTAGCTGTATTTGCAAATTACTTTTATTTTTCTAGACATTTATTTGCACAAGTTGACAGAAGAATTATATCTATATTAGGTTCTTATATTTTGCTGTCATTGGTCAGTGTTTTTCGTTAATAATTCGTAAACGAAGCCACGGGTTGCATTTTCGTTAAGAAAAAAGTTACTTCACACGATCCCAGGAACTTCTCATTTCCGGTTTGCGAGACATTTTTGGGACACCCTGTATATGTAGTTTCTTGCTTGAGCGGTGGGGGTTTAAGAAATTCTAAGGATTAGTATGACATGGCGAGACAAAGGTTCAGTTATGATGCAGCAAGGACAAAGGTCGAGGATTAGTCAAGGGTGAAATCATGGTTTGCGAAAGGTATTGGTTTGTTCGATAAAAAGATAACGGAATAACGTTGGTATACGATATAACATTAACAATAATAAATGATGTAACAACAATAATAGCAATAATAATAATAAGAAGAAGAATAAATCTAATTAGTAGTAGAGAGTAGGATGTAAAACAACGACAAACATTATTATCTACCACAAAATAAAACTACTTTCAAATTATCTACCCATTTATTAAAAACACTCCTACGCAAATTAATTCGCATCATCAACCGTTCAGAAATCATTATTAAAAATAAAAGGAGTTTAAGCCAGAACGAGTCTTGCTAAATTCTCCGATCGGAGAAGAACAATGACCCTCACATTTCATGGGGAAACTCTCCCGTCGTGTTGTGGCAACATAACAGTCGTATTTGTTTATATAAATCGCAGATTTGTCGTCTGTTCAAACGCAAATAATGGAAGACGCACTGTTAGAGAATATTCGGTCTCATTTTTAAATTTGATGCGAAAAGGAAATTGCTCGTGCGTTCTCGGAGTCATTTTCGAAAGGTTTTCAGCGCCATTTCGACGGCGCACATCGTTATAACGATTCTACCGTGGTCTAAAATACAGAGATAATGCTCGATGCCATGCGGAACGCATCAAATTCCGCGGTTTTTATTCGCCGAGCGGCGCGCGGCCCGGCGGCGGATTTCTCCATAGAAAATCCGCCATCAATCTTCCGTTAATTGAAGAAACATCGAGAAGTTATTCGCCGGTAGTAGCATCGAGCGTGTTTTATTCGCCGATTGGGATTTGAAAAGCCTCGTAAATCACACGGCGTTTCCAGTTCGACCTGTCAATCTCGATTCGTCGGTTACAATCCCGGCCGACGAGTAGGGGCTCGAATAAATTCGTAGCACAATGCTAATTGATGAGAATGAAACTGGGACATCGATTATTTAATATTATCGACACGACCGCGGATGCTGCGCATCCAAACTGACAATGGAAGCGCAACGCAATTTCTGTATCATCTTTTCGGATTTCCTTTCGACGATAAAAATGTGCTTCTTGCGTTTACAGCGTTCAGAGTTCGTCGAGCGATGTAGAAATACAGTAATTTCTCTCTAATTCGCGCTCAAATTGTGCACGAAAATGGGCAATTTGGGATGCTGGAGATACGATTATTCGAGCCTTGCGTCTTGTTTTTATAGTTGTTGGCAATCGGTAACTAGAAAAACGAGCCGCAAATAATCGTATCTCCTCTTCCCAAATTGTCCATTTTTGTGCGGAATCTGCGCGCAAATTAGGGAAACATTACTGAAACGAATTTTCAGACGAACTTGTAAAACAAATATATTTAGATGAACGGTTTTGTAATAAGTAAACATTTTGATTTTTGCAAACATTCACAGCTAAAAAGAAACAAATGATAACATATCGCTAGCTTTAAGCAGTGAATTCTGTTACTAATTAGTAGTTACTCATGTATATTATTTTATGAATTTGTGACAAAAACGAGTGGATGAATATATGTAACGATAGAAGAATTTAGATCATTTAAGAATTAAACTATTAAAGAAAAAAGACAATTTCTATTCGACTCCTGTCTCTTTTAATCGATGCAAAAGATTTTTATTTTGTATAAGGATTCGCAGACTATTCATTAGACGACGGAGTTTTACGCAAAATAAAACTGTTCTTGATCAATTTCAACGAGCAGGAGTTAATCTTGTGCATAAAATGCATAACGTCCGCTTGCTATGCTTCGAAAGTGACCTATATTTTTTAATAATCGTTCAAGCATTTCATCACTGATCGATGAAAAGTGAACGTAGTATTGGCAAATCGATGGTAAAAGATGAACAGCAGGATGAGAAACGAGGCATGATGATGATGAGAAAATGTATCTAGAATTTCATTAATGATTGAATATTTTTTATCGACAGATGGGTAGCATTTTGCAACAGTCGGTATTAAAAGGCCGGCAGACCGACAGCATCAAGGAGAAGGATTTGCTTCATAAATTATTCAAAGAAACGGCGGCAAATTATTCCAATCGTCTGGCGATCTACCACGAAGGTACTGTTATTGGTGGTATTAGGGGGGGAGGGGGTGCAACATGCAACATAAATAAAAGTATTCCTAACGCAAAAACCTAGAAAGTGAAGAAATCAATTAACATTAATTATACATTAGATACTGTTTTAATGATAGCTAGCACACCGCTGCATTTTCATTTTTTCCCTTTTCTTTCTACGTTTTTTCTAACCCCAGGAATTAAATTACAAAGTTAAATCGCGGAATGTATACGTAATAGAATCAGCTTTATAGCAAGTCTCGATGAGGCTGACTGATTCTACTGCCATGGTCTTTATGGTGTCTAGCATTCTATTGCAATTTTTATTCTCATACGATATTTCTCTTATGTCTCATTGTTTGAGATTTGCACCAAATCTCTTCAATACTAAATTTTGCAAATTCTTATGAATAATTTATTCTCCTTGGCACTAAGCGATTCTAGCGCGAGCAGGCTTCACGATTAAACTCCAAATATGTACACGTAGCCCCGCCATTGATAATAATTTCTTCCTCAATTAATATTCTACTATGGCAATTTTAAGGAGAGTTTTCTGATCTAGACATTTAGGAAAATCGATGCTTCTTCATTGTATTTCAATAACATTGTTTATTTTCAAATATATACTTTATTGTATTTATTTAATAATTTTATTCAATTATTAACAGTAACATATTTAAAACACGTATACATATTTCCATATAACCAGCAAGATAGGAACTATCGTCCCTGCCGCAATTATCAATAAAACTTGATTCCTTCTCATTTTCTTTTCTAGTATGCCAAGACGAAGAAAAAGCTACAAAAAAACTTGATTTTCAAATACCGTCGTTTTGTTGAACAATGAGACATTTTATTCATCCGTTTATTCATCCAAACGCTAGGTACACATGTACACATTCTAGGTACACATTCTGATTAGCGGAACAACTGGGCTTATATCAGTGAGGAAAACAGTGACAGTAATTCTCCCTAATTGACGTTCAGATAGTAAACAAAAATGGACAATCCGAGCGTCAAGGTTATTTTATCTGAGCGTCAATTGCGAAGAATTTGCTGTATCTGCAAACGGAACTTGTTTAAAAAAAAAAGAGTGACTCAGACAATTTCTAATATATTTTCATTTAACCCTTAAATGCACCGTGTTGCCATTTGGCAACATACAGAAGAATATTTTGTTTTGTAGCCGATTGGCTATATACGATAATTTTGTAATAAAAAACTATTTTCCTAAAGATATAATTTTTTTCTTCGCTTTTTTCCCTTAATACACACTCATTTTTTAAATGAAGTTTGATAAGTAGAAATTGAAAACAAAAAGTCATGCATTTAAGGGTTAAAACAAATATACATATATTTTCTTGTTAAAAGAAAATCCCATAGAAGACCTAAAAACTGCACTCCTCTTCGATGTTAATTTTGTTAACACAAATTTTAAAGCATCCACAGAGTTCCGCTTATGTTTGCGTTCTCACAATCGATTTGTTCCATTGCAGACGATCATGGGAAGGAATACACGATATCATACGGGGAGCTGAGCGAGCTGACAAACGGAATCGCTAGGGTTCTCCGAAAGTTCGCGAAACCAGAGAGCTCGTCGCAGTCGCTGGTAGCGGTATGCATGAAGCCCTCTCATCGGCTGCCGACAGTGCTGCTGGCCATCGTCAAAGCTGGAATGGCATACTTGCCGCTGGACGTGGAATTCCCAATGACCAGGATCAAACACGTTCTGCAAGAAGCCAGGCCCCTAATGGTGTTGACAGAGGAAGGAGGTAAAACGTCACATTCTCGCTCTTCTTCTTCTTCTCGCCAATTCATTCGACGATTTATGAACCGCGCAACATCTACAAATCGTGCTTAACAGGATTTATGGCTTATAAATCACTTTATTTCCGTTTCTTTTTATGGGCCAAGGAAACTTTACCATTTCATGAACCGCCGAGTTTTCGCCTTTAGAAAATGTCAACAATCTTGTAGAAAGTTTTGCATTCGCGATAGTCTGACCTAGTCTAAACATATTCTACTTAGAACCTTCAATTTAAAACTGTGGTGAAGCACCTGTTTTCAGTCGAATAAATGTGCAGCTTTGCGAAGGTAGAATGAATATATCGTAGTTCGTCTGACGAGGAGGAGTTATTAGGCGTCCGCCTCCGATTGCTTTGATTTTTGGGTATGTTACAGAGGACCAAAAAATAAGGGATGCGTATTTTTCTATATTAGCTCAATTTCATAGTTAGGGGGAGAAACCACCCCTCGAAGTTTATAAGATGGAATACGAAAAATCTCTTGAAGTTAGTTGTAGGATTATTATCAAATTTGTTATAAACTTAATTTGTGGCGTATTCGAGTGAGTGAATGCTGTTCTTGTTGTTAGTCATCCTTGACTACCCCTAATCGTTTCAATGCGTATGTAAAAAACATGAAACCTGCAAGGAGTTCGTATAAAAACTTCAAAAAATCTTAGATTTTATTCTAACAAGTTATCGCACGATGAAGAATTAATGGATATAATATATGCACAATATTATGATCTTCCGCCCTTAGCGAGGGGTGGCAAAATCTGCTGCAAAAGTCTCTAGACGTTCACTGTATCTTTCGATCTGTACTTATTTTCAAACTCAAGCGCGGCAAAAATGTTCAGAGATCGTTTAAAACATCGAACGAAGCCTTGAGAGTCTGTGAGAAAATGAAGTAGCACCTTTAATTAATTCGCGTGTCTGCTGCAATATAAAGAAGGTCCTAGAATTTCAAAGGACCGCCTAGAACCAGTCGGACAACGATAAGCTAAATACGGTGTTCTGCGGTCGTCCTTCGTTGCCATAAAAATGCCGCTGGTCTGATTTGAGGTCGATGATAGAAACTCCACCGGTTAACGATTGCCCGATGAATAACTTCCTACTCGTATATCCTGCCTCGTTGACGAGGCCCGTTAGCCCCAGTTAGTTGTCCAGCAGACACATCAAAATTCTAGATTCTTTAATCGGTGCCGCCGTGAATCATTCTGCCGGGAAGTGAACGCGACGGGGACTGTCGTCAGCAATCCATTTGAATTAAAATTTTCCAGCGGACCAATCTATCTACGATGGAACAATGACGATGACCTACGAGGAACTGTCCGAGAGAGCTCGGCAAGAGGAGAAAGACGATCTGGATCACCCGGAGAACCCCGAGCAACTCGCGATCGTCCTTTACACTTCCGGTAGCACGGGCACGCCGAAAGGTACGGCGGAATGTCACTTTTGTCTATGTTCGCGTCCCTTTTCACCGATAGACACTTTTTATTCCGGATCTCCGAGACCACGGCGTGACCTGATATCGAAAAGACGTTCATCTCCGAAAATGCAAATTGAATATGACATTCGTCTTTTCGTACAAAATACAGTAAATTCTCGGTAATTGATGTTCAAATTGTACACAAAAATGGACAATTTGGGCAGAGTAGGTACGATTATTCGAGCCTTGCGGCTCGTTTTTATAGTTGTTGACAATCGGTAACTATAAAAACGGGTCGCAAGGCTCGAATAATCGTACCTCCTCTTCCCTGTTTCCAAGCTGAACGTCAATTAGGGAGAATTTACTGTAAATAGAATGTTTAGGAGGCTACCTTTGGGCCATCCTCTTTTTATTACCATTCTCCTAGGATGTCCTCTAAAAATTAAACATTTATTTGGATGGTATATATCTATTTCTTTTCTAGAAATTCAGTCAGTTACGTTACTCTAAGATCTCCGCGCGAATTACCATTTCCATAGGATATTCTATAAAAATCAAGAGTTTTCTAGAAGAAATAAAAATTACCATTTTCCTAGGATATCCTATAAAAATTAAACATTTATTTGGATGGTATATATTTATTTCTTCTCTAGAAATTCGTCAATTATATTACTATAAGATCTCCACGCGAATTACCATTTCCATAGGTTATTCTATAAAAATCAAGAATTCTCTGAAAGATATAAAAATGCTGTTCATTTTTTTTTTATTTCATTTTTTACAATTTCAAGCTTACCTTTTACTTCAATTGATTAAACCATCCTATTCAGTCCTCTATTAAAAGTTTGCCAGTTTTCTATTTACTGTCGGATCTCTCTCTCTCTCTCTCTCTCTCTCTCTCTCTCTCTCTCTCTCTGCACGAGTTACGATTTGCATGGGTTATTTGGATGGAAGAGTGAGAATTATTTTTAACTGTTTACAGGAGTGCTTCTGCCACACGCGACAGTGCTAAACCGGCTGCGATGGCAGTGGCGGGAACTGCCTTATGCATCGGACGAGTGGCAGTGCGTGTTCAAGACGTCCTTGACCTTCGTCGACAGTTTATCGGAGATCTGGGGTCCCCTGCTTCAAGGTCGAACCCTCGTCGTTGTCTCGAAGCACGTTACCAGGGACCCCGAGAGATTCGTACAAGTGTTGGAAAAGCACAAGGTTAGCCAATGAATATTGTATAGCGATTTCTGCAAACGGTTGCGAATTGTTCATCCTTCGATTGCACTTACTTTACGATCTGCGTTAAATGTAATTAAATAAAAGTATGGTTTTCCTTTTAATGATTTGAAGAATAGTGAAAGAATGTTCCAACATAATGTTGGAACATTTTCCACAGGAATGCACAAAATTAAAGTTGAAATTATTTTAGATTCAACGACTCGTGCTGGTGCCATCACTCCTGCATTCGATGCTCATGTACCTGAGTCTACGCGTAAGCATTTCACATTTATTATACTTGATAAATTTTCCCACAGCAGTGTTCCCCTTCGATTGGTTTTTTCTTTTTTGTTGTTGCCAGTTTCTAATTGCACGGGATTACTATTAGGGATTACTATTAGCACATGCTTGTAGCAGCTTAGTGTAGTAAATAGTGTACACAAGAAGGCACCGGATATCACAGATACACTAATTGTATCTTAGATTTTTTTTGTCGCCTGATCAAAATTTAACTTCAGAGAAACTACAATTGATTCGTGAAATAATTTCCCGTTTCAATTTATAATTACACGGGATTCAGTGAAGCGTTTCGAAGTGAAGAGAACTGTTTCTCATTGGCCAAGAAATGTGACACTAATTACATGTCCTTAGATTTTTTCAATTAACGTTATTTACAAGCGGCGTGACATTACTGCCAGCTTCTGTAAAATGTGGTATATTTATGTTGCTCGCTTCAATGTCTTCGTCAATTTGGCAAATAACATATTCGTATCTACACAAGTGGATATAGTGTATACACATATATACACTTGTATACACAAGTGGATACGTCCAGGTGGACGACCCGACGCGACGGTTCGAAGGAAATGAAAAAGTTTCGAACATTTTCATATGTTTGCCCAAAATATTGATTTACGACTCGTTGGCCAGTTTCGCGATCAAAATTCGACAGAGACGCGAATAACATAGTAAACGGAACACGTGGCAGTCGTTTAATAAAAATCTCGACATGCTTCAGGACAAGGAGAACGTGCTGCGCTCATTGAAGCTTTGGGTTTGCTCCGGCGAAACATTGCCGGTTTCGTTGGCCGATCAATTCTTCGCCACGTTTGGCAACGGCGATAAGGTCCTGGCGAACTTTTACGGGAGCACAGAGATCATGGGTGATGTCACTTACTATCTTATGGATAGTAGGAACCAGCTGCAATCGACCGACAAAGTTCCTATTGGTGAGTGCAGATACACAACAATTTATGCTAGCTAGACCAACTGTTCTCTGCAAAACTATTGCTCAATTCTCTATCCTATTTGTTTCAATTAAATTAAAGGAAGAGGAGACTGATCAACTAATTTTCAAATATTTTTATGTACTATCAGTGAAGGGACTCTAAAGCGACCACCATTTCTTTGTTTAAAGGACAGTATTATTTTATCTTCAAAGAAATTACGGAATGATTTATCTAATATCTAAAAGAGAAATTAATTAGTAGACTACATAACTTCATAATTAATTAGTAGTTAAACCACATACGAAGTAAAAGTTGCCTATGTCAATTGCAAGAAACATAAATTAGTTCTACTTTAAATTACACTTTTGTTACTATCTTTTTACATTATAAATGTTCCACTTTCTTTGATAATTGTAACAAATTGAAAATAACGTAACAATATCCGTAAATTCTTCTAATCTCGTTACAGTTTTGTATTTGACTTGTCCACCTTTCTCGTAAGCACATAAAATCCGCGATCTATTAGTGAGTCATTAAGAATCCAGTTAGAATCGATACATTTTTCAGACGAATTAATTGCATACATACATGCATCGTAACTAAAGCTTGATGCTGATAATGACTTAATTTTCGAAAGTGAGGTAAAATGTGAAATCTCGTTGGATAGCAAGATTACGGGCGCTTAAATAAACGAAGCGTTATAAATAGTCCGCCGCACAGTTTAATCCTGCGTGCATTTAATCACAGGGAAGCCGCTAGATAATTGCATTGTCTATATCGTGGATAAGGAAATGCGGCTGGTCCCGCAAGGTGAAGTTGGAGAGCTAATAGTAGCTGGAAGAAACCTCGCTGCGGGATATCTTCGCGACAACGACTCCCGCAAGTTCCAGGAAAACCCTCATGCCATCGATCCAGGTACTAATATCACTAGAAACTATAATCTTGCACGTTACAATCTCCCAACGGTACCTGCTATAGCGGTAAGTGTAGAGAGAATAGGACGGAAGTACAAGTAGTGTACACAAGAAAGCGTGTACACTAGATGACACTATGTTATGAGATACTATTTCACAGATATTAACACGTTCCGTGCCGAGCTTTTTTTACTCGAATCTTCACACTTTGATATTTTACTAAAACTTGATGTATTACGTGCAATTATTAATTCTCGTACACATAACAACGTAACCAAAACTTATCAACGCCCATTCTTGCGGTGGAAATTGATTCTTCGGTTCTAAATTTCTTGTAAACAATTTGTTCAGTTCACTAAGTAAACATGCAAGCGTGTACCATCGATGGTACACGCTTGCATGTTTACTTAGTGAACCTGTCTCTTATACACATCTAGATGTGTATAAGAGACAGGTTCACTAAGTAAACATGCAAGCGTGTACCATCGATGGTACACGTGGCACGGAACGTGTTAATTATATCTTGGATTTTTTTTGTCGCCTGATCAAGATTTAACTTCAGAGAAACTTCAATCGGTTCTAGTGTTTCTTATTGTTCAAGAAACGTAACACTTACTATATGTCCCTAGATGTTTGTCATGTTTCAATTAACATTATTTACACGCGGCGTGACACTAAAAACAGTCCCAAAACAGTCCCCGAGTACTTTTGCCTAACATCGAGACAAATTCGTTGACGAAGATTCCAAAGCAATTTTGCCAGACGTGAATTATTCTTAAATCAAGAAAAGGAACCATCCTTCTCTTATTAACCTCATATTAAACATCAAAATCACACACATACACACATTATAATCTCGCTTCAGAAGAATCTCTTTTCCACCAACAAGTTAAAAAATGAAAGTTGAACTAATGAAAAGTTGAATGGAAAGTTGACTAAAAGTTGACTATTCCAAAGCAATATTGCCAGACGTGAATTATTCTTAAATCAAGAAAAGGAACCATCCTTCTCTTATTAACCTCATATTAAACATCAAAATCACACATTATAATCTCGCTTCAGAAGATTCTCTTTTCCACCAACAAGTTAAAGAATGAAAGTTGAACTAATGAAAAGTTAAATGGAAAGTTGACTAAAAGTTGACTATTCCAAAGCAATTTTGCCAGACGTAAATTATTCTTAAATCAAGAAAAGGAACCATCCTTCTCTTATTAACCTCATATTAAACATCAAAATCACACACATACACACATTATAATCTCGCTTCAGAAGAATCTCTTTTCCACCAACAAGTTAAAAAATGAAGGTTGAACTAATAAAAAGTTGAATAGAAAGTTGTCTAGCAAATGCAGAGTAGCTATCAAGAAGATCGTAAGATAAAAAGTTAACTTAAAATTCTGCCGATAATGATTTCCTCTGCCAAAACCGTTCCTACAATAAATGGTAATTATCAAAAATCCCTAATATCGGTGATTTTAAACTTCCGAATTCTGATGTAAAAATGTGTTTGTTTGAAATGAAAAAAAGGACGAGAACGGTCCGACAGAAATTAAAAGTGCCGAAATCTTGCCTCCATCGTTTACGAAAATAAAAAAAGTGACGAATGTATGCAGATGTCCGAGAATCGATCTGCAAAAAGATAGAAAGACATACCACTGTCCGTACACGTGGCAGATAAGGTGTTAATGGAAAGGCTCTTAGGGACGAGACGCTTGATAGATCAATTGCTATGCTACGGCCGACGGGACGTATAAGGAAACCTGTCCTTTCCATTTTCCACCAGCTTTATGTTTCACTGTTCGAAATCGTTCCGGAACGAAGGAAATGCTCGGAACTGGTACTGCGATATTTGTCGCCTTGACTGGGTTTCGCCATCGTGATTTATCGTTGAAGTTGCCGGCTCTGTTTTAATCCTGCTTCGGTGTTTCTTCTGATACATTTCTTCGCAACGCTTGAAATATTGCATCTTCGACTAATTACGAAATCTAAATCGAAGGATCTTTATCGCATTTTTTCCCACCATTCTTCGAATATCTTTCGAATGTCCTCGTCGATGCGTATACTAGTTTTTTTACCTATTTTATCCTGATCTTTCTGACCTGTCTTTCACAGCCGACACACAGCTGCTGAAGTGGTACTTTCTATTACGATTCATCATTCGGAAAAGCTGAAGATCTATGTTAGAAATTACGTTCTGCGTAAAATAGATATGCTTGGAATATTCTTTTGATTGACAATTCTCACAATGAATCATATTCGAAGTGAAATCTTTCCAAATTTTCTCAATGAATCCGGATAAAGAAATCTCCACAGAAATTATGGAAATTGCTTCATCGATACACATGTAAAATTGCTATTGCTGCTGAGACATTTATCCAGAAATCTTCAACTATGCATTTTTAAAATCTTGTGCAATTTCAAAGAAAGCGTTCTTTCAGCTATACAGGATGTCCCATAATTATGGTAGCACAAGGAAAAGGGTGATTCCTGAGGTCATTTGAAGTAACTTTTTCCTTAGCGAAAATGCAATCCGCGGCTTTGTTTACGAGTTATTAATGAAAAACAGTGACCAATGGGAGGCGAGCTCGGCTGGCACGAGGCAGCCGAGCCAATGAACGGAACTGCACTTCGACCGCTCGTTGACTAGGCCGCCACGCCGAGGCAGCCGAGCTCGCCTCTCATTGGTCACTGTTTTTCATTAAGAACTCGTAAACAAAACCGCGGATTGCATTTTCGATAAGGAAAAAATTACTTCAAATGACCTCAGGAATCATCCCTTTCCGCATGTTAACATAATTATGGAACATCCTGTATACATTAAATGTGCTGTGTATTTAGAAATAATGAATAACTCAAGGTTTGCTAGAATGACTTAAATTTTGCTTGTATTGGTTAATTAGAATACTCACGGATCTACCGCACAGGCGACTACGCCAGGATATCGAAAGGAGTTGTAACGTACGAAGGACGCGTAGACTCGCAGATAAAGGTCCGAGGACACCGGGTAGATCTCACGGAAGTAGAAAAAGCAGTTTCCAGAGCGCCGGGAGTTGAAAATGTAGTCGTTCTTTGTTACAAGCCTGGAGAATTGTCACAGGTAGGCTAAGATCTAGAAACTCGCAGGCGCGAATCGAATGTAGATCAATGTTCTACTCGATTATGTATTCAGATCTAGAATGAAAATTTCCATATATCACTGTTCCAGACTCTACTCGCGTTCGTTACCATCGTGAACGGCACTTCTACTTGCGCCGAGAAAGTCGAATCTTTCCTACAAGCCACATTGCCTGTGTACATGTTGCCGCAAATTTTCATTCTGGATAATATACCGTTGTTGACGAATGGGAAGACCGATCGACAGACTTTGCTAAAGCAGTACGAAACCTCGAATCTGTGTAGCGGTAAGTAACAACACTACTAAATGAAACACGAATAGAAATCACAGAGGTTCATGATCTCCAAAAGAAAAAAAAAAGTTAGTCTCGCGCGGATGTCCAAATTTCTTCAAATACTATTTAAACAAATTCACACATATGTTGTATATGTATGTGTATACAGCGGGTAGAAAAGATATCGGCTCGTCTTTTAAAACGATATAACTTTTAAAAAACTATACCACCCCAAATCACTTGAATTGTTGAGAGACTAGTGTTACAGGTCAATGACTAAAGTACATTTTTTTCAATTTTGCTATCACTTGGAGTGACAAAATAAAATAAAAAATTTACATCTTTGCAACGTTTTTACCTTGAGCCTGCAAACAAAAATGTAAAAAATGAGTTTTGTAAATCTTGATAATTTAGATGCATGAAAGCATCATCGAAATCGGTTGATGTTGTCAAAGATCACGAAAATCGCAGTTTTGTCACGACTTTTGACATTTTCAATCTAAAACTGCAAAGAAATCTACAGATTTTTAGATCTTTCAATGCCTGCAGCTTGACTCCGTGTTAATCGATTTCGATCATACTTTCAGCATGCGTACAAGTTACCGCCATTTCAAAAATGAATTTTTTAAATTTTGGTTATAGACTCGGATGAAAAGGTTTTTTATTTTTTTTTTGCTGTAATTCAACTCTAAACTATACCATCTTGTCAAGAAGACCTCTAGAATGTAATCAAAACAGAATGTGACTATAAACT